AAGGTCCTGGGGCAAGCTCTTGGGACAAGGTCCTGGGACAAGCTCTTGGGACAAGGTCTTGGACAAGGTCTTGGGACAAGGTCCTTGGTCTTGGGACAAGGTCCAAGAGCTTTATATAATTGAAAATATGTATGTTAAGAAAATAAATGTTATTAGGTTTCTTGTCCCAAGAGCTTGTCCCAGGACCTTGTTGTCCTCTTGGGACAAGGTCCCAAGAGCTTGTCCCAGGACCTTGTCCCAAGAGCTTGTCCCAGGACCTTGTCCAAATAGCTTGTCCCAGGACCTTGTCCCAAGTGCTTGTCCCAAGAGCTTGTCCCAGGACCTTGTCCCAAGAGCTTGTCCCAGGACCTTGTCCCAAGAGCTTGTCCCAGGACCTTGTCCCAAGAGCTTGTCCCAGGACCTTGTCCCAAGAGCTTGTCCCAGGACCTTGTCCCAAGAGCTTGTCCCAGGACCTTGTCCCAAGGCTTGTCCCAGGACCTTGTCCCAAGAGCTTGTCCCAGGACCTTGTCCCAAGAGCTTGTACCATGACCTTGTCCCAAGAGCTTGTCCCAGGACCTTGTCCCAAGAGCTTGTCCCAGGACCTTGTCCCAAGTGCTTGTCCCAAGAGCTTGTCCCAGGACCTTGTCCCAAGAGCTTGTCCCAGGACCTTGTCCCAAGAGCTTGTCCCAGGACCTTGTCCCAAGAGCTTGTCCCAGGACCTTGTCCCAAGAGCTTGTCCCAGGACCTTGTCCCAAGAGCTTGTCCCAGGACCTTGTCCCAAGAGCTTGTCCCAGGACCTTGTCCCAAGAGCTTGTCCCAGGACCTTGTCCCAAGAGCTTGTCCCAGGACCTTGTCCCAAGAGCTTGTCCCAGGACCTTGTCCCAAGTGCTTGTCCCAAGAGCTTGTCCCAGGACCTTGTCCCAAGAGCTTGTCCCAGGACCTTGTCCCAAGAGCTTGTCCCAGGACCTTGTCCCAAGAGCTTGTCCCAGGACCTTGTCCCAAGAGCTTGTCCCAGGACCTTGTCCCAAGAGCTTGTCCCAGGACCTTGTCCCAAGAGCTTGTCCCAGGACCTTGTCCCAAGAGCTTGTCCCAGGACCTTGTCCCAAGAGCTTGTCCCAGGACCTTGTCCCAAGAGCTTGTCCCAGGAGTAGTATATACTCCATTTTTATTAACTTTTTATAAAAGTTAATAAAAAAGTAGTATTAATTTATATAAAGTATTAATTTATAAAGTATTAAATAAAATTCTTATGTAAAAAGTTTTAAAATTATAAAAAAATATTTAAAAATCTGACTCTATAAAATAAATATGATAAAAAAATAATGCGTTTGACTCTAAGTCAAAAAAATAATTATCTCACGATAAACCTATTCAACTGAAGATATCGAAATAATCAAACGATTTACAGTTAACTAACAAAATGATAACCATAAAATTTGTATAATTACTGAAAAAAATTATTTATTAGTTAAAAATTTGAAAAATTTATTTAAAAAATATCATTGCCGGTGAATTCTCTTTAGATGCATCTCATTAAAATGCTTCTGCAACCATTTATTACTTGCGAATCTCCTATAACATATGTCACACTCAAAAGATTTATTCTCAATGCATAGTTTCTTGTGTTTTGAATACTAAAAGAAAAAAAATAATTTAGAATACAAAAAATCTAACAAGATGATGGAAAACATAAGCAGGACAATGATGACATTTAACTTTATAATACATTTCTTATGGAAATTGTTCGTAAAAGAATATCTGAAATGTAATATTAACAGAAGAAAGTTTGAAATAATGAAATACACAGGAAAAAATAAAAATCCTGGTATAAAAAGAATTGCTAGAAATTCTGCAGAAGTTTGAAGCGGAAGGTAATGTTAAATTTGAATTAATTTCAATGAATAAATTAAAATATGGGAATGTAATATAAATTCACACAGTTTGAAAAAATAAGGCAAAAATTGACTTATAGTAAAAATCAATAAAAGCTGGTAAAATTTTGTAACTAACAGATTAACAAAAATTTTCAATTTTTATAATGAACAAAATTTTTTCGCAACGATTAAATAAAATTGCGCAAAACTTATTTTGCAAAAATATTTCGCAATAATTACACCGAGAAAATTGTGCAAAAAACTTATTTTGCAGCAATTAGAACAAAAATGCCCATTTAATTGGGCCAAAATACAACACAATAATTTTACAAAAAAAGTTTTGCGCAAATAATTGGGCAAAATTCAATCAGACCAAAAATGCGCATACAATTCAAGGGCGCCAAAATGACTAAATTACCTTTCAAAAATTTTCGCAAACAATTGGGCAAAAAAATTCCCATTTAATTGGGCAAAAATTCAATCAGACCAAAAATGCGCATACAATTCAAGGGCGCCAAAAATGACTAAATTACCTTTCAAAAATTTTCGCAAACAATTGGGCAAAAAATTCCAATTTAATTGGGCAAAAATTCAATCAGACCAAAAAATGCTCATACAATTCAAGTGCGCCAAGAATAACTAAATTAGCTTTCAAAAATGTTCGCAAATAAGTGGGCAAAAAATTATTTTGCAACAATCACAGTCAAAAATACCCAAATAATTGGGCCAAAACGACAATGCCCAATAATTGCACTAGAAATATTTCGAAATAATTACACCAAAAAACTCATTTAATTGCCGAAAAAAGTATTTTCAATAACCAAAAACTACCAAATAATTGTAGTAAAAAATATTTCGCAATAATTACACCGAGAAAATTCCAATTTAATAAGGCAAAATATATTCAACAAGAACCAAAAAAGCTGCCCACTTAACCGCAACATAAATATTTCGCAATAATTACACAGAAATTGGCCAAAATAGGGAAAAAATATTTTACAACAAAGAAAGTGATTAAAACACAAGTAAGCCACTTTGATATTTTAGCAAAAAACAAGTTTTTATGAAGTAATTAAATATTCTAGAATGTTCCAGAATGATTTTTTCGGTGCATATAAAAGAAGCTCGTTTTCTCAGCATGTACATTCATTCTTATATTCATCAATTTATAACAATTTTTACCGAAACAATTGTTTAAATTAGAATAACATTTTATTGATATATATATATATATTTAAAATTTTTATTTTATTTAAATATTTTCGTCGTAAATTTTCATAAAAATTTAATTTTCATTTTTAGCTTATTTTTTATACGCATATAAAAAACAAAATGAGCTCTGACAAAAAAGTTGCTAAAACAAGTAAAAAATATTTAATAATTAGTTTTTTTATTTGTCTGCTTATTTAAAATAGATGCGTATCTTGAACAAATGAACATAGAAGCACAAACTAGCAAAAATACATGTAGAGGTAGATTAGCCCTATGACATTAATATTTTATAAATATATTTAAATAAACCCTGAAGTTAAATATATTTTATATTTATTTTAGAAAATCGAACCAAGCAAGATAATACAGGCAAACGGTGTTCCAAAAAGAATACGAGTACAATTATGTCACCAGTAAAAACGGTATCATCAAAGAAAACTAAAATATCAGAAAACAAACAAATACGCGCAAAAAATACATATGATAATTTTATTAAGGTAAAAGTTTTATAAATAATATTTACTATTCAAAAATCAGACAATCATTGGAGAAACAAAACAAATGACCAGTAAAGAAAAACAATATGATTCACCTCATCAAAAAATCTCTGATTATGAGAGTGATTTATCAGAAGATAGTGAATCAGATAAAGACATAGGATTAAACGAATCAAAATATAAGAAAATGCGCATCGAAAGTAACATTATTATACATTTTTTTTGAAAGAACAATTTAAGAAAAACTACAACAGAACAATACAGTACCTGAGGCGCTGCTAAATCAGGCTCAGCTTCTTAAAAATCCGCGTAGCGGTATATTTGTCTACCAATGCAATCAATGCCTCGAAAGTCAAAAGCAAAGACAATATTTTCTATTTAGTACAGGTATATCGGGATTATCAATATTGACGATCGAGCTTTGTGAGGAGGATCTTGAAAAAAATATATCGCTAGGAATGCATTACTCTGGATACTTTGGTGAGTAATAATTTTGTTAATTATTAAATTATTTAGGTCATCATACAAATAATCTGCAAAAGGACACATATTCTTCAAGTTTAATGAATGTTTTAATAAATTACTGATGAATATTTTATTAAGATGTTGATGTACTTAAATTCTCTAGAGGTGGAAGCATTATAACAAGTAACGCTAAAAAACTTTTAAAATTGACCAAATTTTGCTGGGTTCTGCATCAGGTACTATGAAAACAATACGCATTATATAATTTTAGTGTTCACAATGCTGCGATCTATCAAAAAAGATGGCTATTGATCATTTCATTCAGAAATTTGACAACAAATATCAGCTGAGCTTCCCCGTAAATAAATCTACAAAATATTTAATTAATTAATTTAAGGTTTGCGCTGTCTGCATAACTGCAAATATTGATTACCAACAGAAAACCTATGACAATGTTATCAAGAAGGACTAAAATATATTTTACATAGCTTATTTGCGCAATTGTTGAATAAATATTAATTTAAAATTAATTTTAAATGAATCGTCATATTAACGATTTACAATACTTTTAAAAATTTTAATACTAAAAATTATTATTCATTTTTTCATAGCTTTTTAGATGGATCGACATTCTAGAAATTTTGGCAAATATTCTGTCAATCATTTTTATACAGAAGAAACATCTGAATTTATTAACAGCGCAAAATTCAAAATTGGCGTTTTTAGGTAAAAATCAAAGATATACCAAAATTTTGTTCATTTTAGAAACGTATTCACGGTTAAAAATATTGAAGATGCACCAGAAGGAAGTGATCAGCTTTTAGAAGATTTAATTGATTACTTTATTGCAAAAGCAGACAGGGCCACCGGTTCAAAAGCAGAAAAATGCTCCATAATAATAAGAAGTGCAGTTCTTGAGAAACCAATTCAAATTCCATATAGAGGTCTTGCTCAAAATACACCACAAGTGGTTATGGAGCAACTAGATTCTGTTGATCAAAGTGGAAAAAGAATGGGAAGGCCATCGATTTTCAGTCAACCAATTCACATCGAGGTTTATTTCTAAATAAATTTAAAGAATTTTTGATTAAGATTGTTATGGGGCCTTCTCACGAAGAGGCTCTTGAGTTGATACAAAAAGGAAGTAGTGGAAGTGGTAGAAGACCTAGATATATTATGAAAGGCATAGACCGCAACAATCTTATAGAGGTTTTAAATTTAAAAAATGAAATATAACAAAATTTAGGTTCGCAATGATGATCTAGGTGAACATGCCAAAAATCATTGCCTCTTGTTGGCTGTCCAGCTGACATTGCTATATGTAAATATGGTTAAAACAACACGTGCAAATGTAAACTTTTTAAACCTTATTCGTGGGAAAGGAGAAAGTTCCAAGCTTTATCGATGTAAATTGATCAAAGATATGTTAACTCAAATGGAAAAGCACGGAATAAATTATTCACCGAACATGTCTCGTTATTCTGTGGAAGAACATGTCCCTTTAATACAAAAATATTTTAACGAGGAATTTCCTGGTGAATATCGATTAGCAGTATTTGGAGAAGAAGGCCATATGATACCTTTATGGAAGGCACCTGATCGTGCGAAAAAAGATATTTGTCTATATTTAATGGATGGGCATTACTATGGTATAAGGAAATTAAATACACTGTTTGGAAAGCATATGTATTATTGCCTTGAATGTGAAGCAACGTACCACAACAAAAATGAGCATCGTCTGACATGTGCAGCAAAATGTCCACGTTGCTGCGGGATGGGCGCAGATTTTCCGTGTAAAGGGATTGAAAATTTCGAAATAACTTGTTCTGAGTGTTTCAATCAGTTTAGAAATCCAAGCTGTTTCGAACGACACATTGAAAAAGGAATATGTCAGATTTTTAAAAGGTAAATTAAAATTTCAATGAAAAATAAAATGAAAACAGATGCAAAGAATGCGGTCAAATATATCGTGTGAATAATAATGAAGAGCATATCTGCTATGTTCGCTTCTGTTCTCTTTGCCGCTCCAGACATAGACGCGACGAACAATGTTATGTACAACCGATTATTCCTAAACATTCTCAATCCTATCTCATGGTAAATTTTAGCAATTATTTCTTTTAAAAAATTTTAGATTGTATTTGATTTTGAATGTGAACTTATTTCATCATCAAAAAATACAAATGACAGTTCAACTCATGATGAAAATTATCAATTACACCATGTTAACTGTGTTTCGGTAATTTAAATTATAATAACTTATAAATTATAAATTAGGCAATGTTATTATGCTCAAATTGTATGCAAAATAATAATTGGAAAGAAAAATATACAGGAGCTTGCAAAACTTGTGGACCAGGAATTCCTAGAATGAGAACTTGGACGGGTGCAAATTACGAGAACCCATTGCGTGAATTCCTTGAATGGATAATTTTTGGACTTGATAATGAGAGAAAAGGAAGAACTTTCGCTATTTCACATTATGGAGGGTTTGTACTTTATCATTTTTAAATTTAATTTTTTCAGACGTTATGATATGCATTTACTATTGGGTGAACTGATCAATCACTTTGGAATTGAACCAAATATAACTAGAACAGGAAACAAGCTTTACGAAGTTCTCATAAAGAAGAAAAATGGAATTTATCCCTATATTTCTTTTCGCGATTCTTTCAATTGGATGATGCTCAAGTTGGATCAATTACCAAAGGCTCTTGGTCTAGATATTGATGAAGGAGGAAAATCATTTTTTCCGCACGGATGGAATTTAAATAAAAATATGGACGTTTTGTTGAAAAATCTGCCAGCCAAAAAGTATTATTATCCTGAGCCAATGGGAAAACAAAGAAGAAAAGATTTTGAAGAATGGTATGATATGCACAAGGACGGTTCTTTTTTACTTTGCGAACAAATTGTCGAATATTGTGAGCAAGATGTACGTATACTTACACACGCTCTTGTTAAACTACAGAAGCTATTTTTTGAACTCGCTACGGAACCATCAAAACGAGATGATATCCTTGCATCCTCAATGACACTTGCTAGTGCATGCCTTCGTCATTTCTGTTGGTTACAAAAATTGTATTAATATTACTTATTTTTAGGCATAAACTACCTGAAATCCAATCAAATTGGTATTATTCCAGACAACGGGTATCACAAAGATACTAACTACTCTGCAATCTCCATTAAATTTATTAAATGGCTTGAACATAAAACAGGACTTCAAATTCAAAACAGACAAAGTGCAGAAGGCGAGTATAGAATTACAGTTTCAAATGGAAGTATTTTGCGACTTGATGGATTTATCAAAGAAAAAAATATAGCTATAGAATTCCTCGGATGTGCATGGCATGGACATAAATGGTAAAATAAGCTTCATTTTCTTACTTATAAATTCAGTCTTTATCGTCCTCATGAAATTTGTCTAAACGGTAAAACAGCATTATATAATGACGACACTTTAAATGAACGCATCAATTTACTGAAGAACCAGAACATACGTACCTACATATTTTGGGAATGCGAGGTGGTCAAGGCATTGGAAGATAATCCGAAAATGTCACTTTTCTTTGATGAATTGCCCGACATTGGACCTTTATTCCCTCGAGATGCTTTTCATGGTTTTATTATTTTTTAATTATTATAATTATGTAATTTCTAGGTGGAAGAACAGGACCATTATCTCTTAAATGCCATCTTGAAGGTGATCTAGAAAATGAATATGAAATTTCATGTTATGATGTGGTTAGCCTATATCCTGCGGTTAACTTTTATGCGTTTTACCCCATTGGTGAGACATAATAATAATTTGTAAATATATCCTTATTTAGGCCATCCAGAGTTATTGGATCTCAATTTAGATATAAATTGGACAAGACCTGAAGACTTACGACCTTATCGTGGAATATTTAAACTATTCATTATTCCGCCTGACGACTTATATTTACCAGTAATTCCAGAAAGAATACACGGAAAATTGGTATGTTATAAATTTTATAATTATTATAATTTTAAAATTATTATAATTTAAATCCAAAGTAAAAATTTTCCTAGATATTTCATCTATGTCATCAATGTGCAATAGAGATAGAGTCAGGTGTTGCTAAACGCAAACAAAACATTTATTGTTATGGAAGCAAATTGTGTCAACATAGTGATCAACAGCGAGGATTTGTAAGCACAACTTGCTCCGTAGAGCTTGAACTTGCTTTGAGCAGAGGGTATCGTGCAACAAAGGTTTATAGTATCTATCATTGGGAAGAATGGTCTGATGAATTATTACGCCCATATGTTAAGGATATGATGCGACTAAAAATTGAGGTTTAACTTTAGGTTTACTATTAATAATTTAACTTAGGCAAGCGGCTGGCCAACCAGTGCTTTGTCTCCTGAAAATCTTGAACAGGAAGAAAGACTCAAAAATGAGTTTATTGAGAAGAATCAAAAAGAATATGGTATTAATCTTGAGCCTTCAAAAATAGCAAGAAATGAAGGAATGCGCTATCTAGCTAAAACTTGCAATAATTCAATGTAAGAAAATTTAAAAATTTAAATCACTAATTTAGGTGGGGACGATGGGCACTTCGCTGTAATTTAACAAAAGATTGTATAACAAGTTCCCCTATGAAACTTCATACGATTCTTAATGATCCTAAGCTGGAATTGGGTGCCATAGAAATGCTGACTACAGATATGTTCGCTGTGCCTTATAAGAATCGCAGCGAATTTATTCGACCACACGACAAGTATAATATTGTATTGGCCCTTATTACAACAGCAACTGCAAGAGTGATGCTTTACGACTTCATGGAAAAAATTGTGAATGACAACGAATGTAAACTTTTATATACCGATACGGATAGTTGTTTCTTTGTACACAAGCGGAATAAGAAACCACCGTTTCGTGTTGGCGATATGCTTGGAATGATGAGTCGCGAATATGAAGAATGGTCGATTATATCTTTCTATACCGGTGGATGCAAACAGGTATTTAAATTAAACTTTTTTCCTTGTATTTTTGTTAGTATGCAATGAAAATGAAGCACCGTGAAACTGGTGAAATAAAATATATTGTAAAATGCCGTGGACTTTGGGAGCAAGTTGACACACCACTTGACTTTAATCAATTCCGAGTATTTTTAAATTATTCGTTTTAATTTTATAATTTATTTACAGAAAATGGTAGAAGCATATGGCGAGGAACAGGATCCTGTGGTATTGCAGAGAACACATTTTCAACCAAACTGGCGCCAAGGACAAGTTACAAGTCGAACTCAAATAAGGTATTTGCTGTTTGTTTTTAAAAAATATAAAAATCATTTAGACGCTACACACCAATTTATGATAAAGGACATGTAGATGCAAATTTCGACTGTTATCCCTATGGATACAGGGGTGAGCCTATTAATGATCCAACAAAATGATTTAATCTTATATTTTTTCATAAAAATTTTGTATTAGATTTGTTTTATACAATATATCTTTTATAAATTCTTGTTTAGATTTCGTTGATATCTTATTTTTTAAAGAATATAAATTGCAAATAATCCTTATAAAATAGCGAAAGTCTCAAAAAATATTCCCCCGTTCAGGTCTCCCTTCAAGATTTGTTATACGCTACAGAGAGGAACGTTGTCAGACTATAACATCTCCTTCCGTAATATTTTTCATATTTGTAAATTAAATAAAATTTTTCTTAAATGGAAGATAAATAAACATTGCAATAAACGAATTTAATTACTATTATACAAAAATTATTTAGAGTAAATATGTGTGTATAGTCTGATGAATTGCCAGATACATGAGGAAATGCTCAATTGAATTTTAAATTAAATTAAGCGCCTAAATATGCAAAATTTACCAAAATATGCACAAAATATGCAGCAATAAATAGTGAAATTGTTTTTTCAATCAATATTAGTAAAAACAATAATTAAGGCTTTAAATTGCAAGTTAATTGCATCTAAAAGATTTTATGGACTTAAAATTTATGAAATAATTTTTTTAATTTTTCAAAAATTTTTTGTGAAAAATTTTCTTTAAAAGTTTTTTCAGAAAAAATTCTAAAATTTAAAAAAAAAGTTGCCGAATTTTTACAAAAAATTTCAAAATTTGCCGTAATATGCGTCGATATGCACATATGCACGAAACGGTCAAATATTCAAAAATGTGCATTAAGAACCGTGTCCTAAAGTGCTCTTACCAATGTAAAAACACAGTTTTAGAGATATTCAAACTCTTTTTAAATACTTTTTATAGTCTTTAGATTGTTGTAAACTTATTCTAAAAAATATATGCTGCTAACAGATCTCTTGGGGTAAAAAACATCGATTGTATTTATCCGTTCATGTACATATTAATTTAAATTATTAAATAGGTTGCAGCTGAGCTCTATTCCGCTGAAATTTTGACAATTTTCCTAAAATAACAAATAGAAATTTTTCTTGTAAAAATTAAATCAATTAAATAAAACACACAAGGGATTTTGATAATAGTATTCTTTCATTATTTAGAGTAAATATGTATGTGTTTAAGTTGTTGCTCACCTCTTGCTTAAGTTATTGCTCAAGTTATTGCTCACCTCTTTAAAATTTACTTCAAATTTAAGTCTCCCAAACTATCTAAAATTGTCATTCAAGGAAATTTTCTATCACACTGTCTTACGACATTTAATAATTTATTCCCGAATGACAAAAAAGCATCTTCTATACTCGAAAAAAACAAGAACACTTAAAGCATTTTATTCAATTGAATGAAACTATTTTTCATCAGATATTTGATTTAAAGCAGGGCTCCGATCGACAAAATGAAAATTCAAACTATCCATAAGGGGTCGAAAATATTTTTTTAAGTGACTTACCTCCATTTTAAGTTGATTTCACGGTAGTTCTTTTTTATTTTACTTTA